AATTATGATTATAAATATGGATATTTACGCGACTATGCATTTAAAAAATCACGTGTTTCCAATTATTAAGATATAAATTATATTGATCGAGTCAATTATCATTTATCTATCGTTTCTCCGCGTGGGTTATTATGTATAATAATTTAATTGGCAAACTATTAACTCAGGTTTCCACCTGCTCGTGTTATTTGAATATGAGCTATGTAAATACACAACAAGATTCCAAGTTGTTGTTCTGGCAGAGAACATATTTCCCATGGAACATTGCCCAAGAAGACTGTTAATATTATCTAAACCACTCACTTGAAGTGGCGAAGGGGGCCAACGCTCCAAGAGCTTTTGATCTAGCAAACTTGGGGAAGACATTCAAAGTTTGGTGTAATATTAATTTATATTGTTATAGTCGAGACCACATTTATCATTTCTTGTAACTAAATAATAATTGAATCTAATTAACTTTATTTTTTACTTCAATTTATTTAATTACAAAATTACAAAATTTAGTCCAAGAGCTTTTGATTTCTATAAGCTATTTCAAGGCTTAAAAAGTTGGGTGTAATATTAATTTGAATTATTATAGTCGAGACCACATTTAGCATTTCTTGTAACTAAATGATAATTGAATTTAATTCACTTTAGATTTAATTTATTTATTTTGAAACTACAAAATCTAGTACAAGAGCTTTTTGATATTAGGAACTTCTGTAAGCTACTCTAAGGCATAAAAAGTTGGGGAGTATTTTTTATAATTAAATGCGTATTAAATTCAATTAACTATAGTTAATTGCATTTTTATAAAATACTTATAATTGAGCTTTTATAATTGAACAGTAAATTTTATGTGGTCTTTTACACCATAAACCCATTCATAGAAAATTTCATCAAAATCGTCATAGTTAAATCGTCAAATCAAAATTATACTAAAGCTTATTTATTTGTTTTAGTTTTTTAAATTTTCTATGATAGGGTTCATTGTCTAAAAGAGCACATAAAATTTACTGTTCATTTATAAAAGCTCAATCATAAGTATTTTATCAAAATGCAATAATAAAATAAATCGAAATGTCTACATATCGTCCCAAAGGTGCTAAATTTTAATTTTCTCAAATTATCAACTTGGTTCAAGGTAACTTTTACCTTGACTAACACCTTGTTAATGCATTTTTACTTACAGTAATTTAAAATTACTACAAAACAACCGAATATTCAAATTCCTTCATTGTACAATTTTATTTAGAAATATCACAAAATTGGTGTGAACATTTATTAAATAAACAATAAAATTTTACAGTCGCTGTTATAATGAAATAACGACTGTAAAATTAAATTCGATACGAAATTAATATTATGTACATGATAAAATACTTTATTGAACAATTTCATTGCTATTCATTAACAATATTCATCAAAATAAAATTTTCGATCAGTTTTTGTAGCTTTTGTTGCGATAATTTCATACTTTCATTGTTAACTCCGAAATACCTCGGCTTCTGTTTAATTATAACTCGGATGTCGAAATGAGAAAGGGTATTAAATTATTAATTTAAAATTTCTATTGTATAGAAAATATAATCGTGATGAAAACGTATCATGGAAACGATAATGTTGCAAAAATATATTTATATAAAGTAGATGACTTCTTCAAAAATTATTAACAATTTTATTTATTTTCTGTAATTATCAAAACATCAGTTTTATCAAATGATTTTAAATTTTAACAACATAGACAAATTTGAGGGATTAACTAAATCATTAATAATTAGAGCTTTACATTCTACTAAAATATCGGATAATTTATTAACCAAATAAATTGTGTTTTGTACAACCATAAATTAATTTATGTGATATACCACCTTTTTCACATTTATTTGAAAAAGTAATATTTTATTTTATAGAGATTTAATTAATAATTATATTTTTATTTTTATTCGCGAAATATTGAAATATTTAATTTCTGCTTGAATTCAATCTCAATACATTTTAAATTAGTTTTTAGATTTAATAATTTTCTTATGTATTTAAAATATTTTCTTTTATTTTCTGCCTCTAAAATATTTAAATCATGTTTTTCTTTATGCAAATTGCTTTGAAAACGTGTTAGTTCTAAATATAGCTTATTAATTCAAATGATTTTAAACCTCATAATGAGTAGAAATGGAAAAAATACAACACAGTAGCCATATCTGCACATGTCCCCAAGTTTGTACATAGAAAATGTAATGTCAAAGCTAATTAAAAACTAAATAGGCGAATACAAAGCATCACAAACACTACAGAACATTTCTACTGAATTATATTTTATGTACAAAGAAATCTACATAGTTCTACGTCCTGTTTAACTAAAAGTCTCCTCTGGGCGAAGACTGATGTTTGGTGACCCTAATTCACCAGAACATGTCTGACTGACAAATGCCTTCAGAGGTAAGAAGAGGTCTTAGATTTACTGGGTGTCTTGGGGTGATGCACTCACGAAAATTGCTATGGAAACACAATGACAGAGTATTTGCATAAAAAGATTCTGAGACGTTTGGAATTTATCTTATTAATATGCTTTCTGGCTCTATTCATAAAAACTGTAGCACCATAATAATGGAGGTGCAAAAATGAAAAAAAAACATAAGTGAAACAAACTTTGGACAAAAAAATTTGGACAAAAAAAATTATGAACTAAATATTTAATCATTTTTGCTGCAAAAATAAACAAATTAGTCATCAATATTGATCATTGTTTAAAATAATGTCCTTTGACTAAACATTTTTGTACATACTAGTACATTTGTACTAGTCATCAATTTTGATCATTGCTTGAAATAATATCCTTTGACTGAACATATTTTTGCATTCATTTTGTAGAACAACCATTTTCAATTCTTTATAGTTTATAGTATGCGTTTCAAGTCAAATAATTAAGATGACAAATTTTAATGTTCTTTGATTGTAACTTTGGTTAACCGTAAGATGTTTGCATTGTAGTTTTTTATAGATCGTTGTTTCAAATATCGTCTTTTCCGTAAACATATTTTAACGAAAACTGTTTTCAAGAAGAACATGTATGTATGTATTTGGAATCCAATATTTGAGATAATAGAATTTTATTACTTCCAATCGAAAATTACACACTACCCTTATTTTTTTGTAATTAACAATACATTTTGCAATGTGTATTTTCCCTCGGTTATATTTATTAATTCACTGCCTTCCATGATTTCATAAATCTGACAGTCCGACAGTTTCAACTTATTTTCAACACAAATATAATCTCGTATAACTATGTTTGACAAACAAAAAGTTGATCATACACAAGTTGCACAGGATACCGTACGTTTACATATAAACTACCTCACGATATGAAACTATACATTTGATTTGTTTCAGCGAATATTTGTGAATGGAACTATGTTACAGAAATTTTATATTCAATTAAGATGATAATGATAATATAGAATCGAAATCACTTCAAATAATTGTTAGATAAAATCTAAAGATCTGATCTCATAATCTCAAAGATATAGAACCTGATCTCATGATCTCAAAATGCTTTTGTCTATTATATTTATCTTTTTATTATATTTTTATACGTTATTAACATAGCTTAATTTGTTAACAATAAGTGCAAAACAATATATCATTTTATACTCAATTTTATTTTAATTATATTTTTATCATATCGTTTTTCTGCTTCATGATGAATATAATATAATATTTCTGTGTGGCATTACAAAGCCGAACAAAAGTACAGATGTAGCCCGCGATCGTCATCAAGTTGTTTTAAATGGTATATCGATTTTATAATCTCGCCGACGCTGTGGCATTTACAATAGCACCACGCTTCTACCACTGTGAAAGAGCCAGTCAATATATCGAAAAGTCTTCCAAAATAATAATTTTACCGAGATTTTATTATAACAATTCCCAAAAAGTTTTGTTGTTGAACTTACTTTGATAAGTTAAAATTTCAAGAAATGTTTTTATCGCAATAAGTCTTTTAAAGTTTCTAAAATTTAGAAATTAAATTTGCTGTTAATGCCGGTAAACTGTTACAGAAATATTTTATGATAAATCTCATATTCATTTATAATTATGATTTTCCACTTTTGTCTCCAAATAAGTTTACAATTTCATTTTAGTCTGTTTTATAAATATCTTTTTGGCACGAAACACTAAAGTACACGAGCTTAAATTTTTAAAAGCATTTACATTTTTATTTAGATTATTGATATTTATACTTATTTAATTAATTTTTATTAATAATATATATTAAGACAAGAAATATTGTTAAACTTGCTCTCAACTTTCCTTATCTATAATACGGTGGAGCGATCGTGTTGAAAAAGCTGCTACTAATTTCTAGTATCAATTCTGTGAATCGTCTTTGAAAAAATGAATAAAATTATCCTTAAATAAATTAAATTAATCTTGAATGCATAATTAAAATAATTAGATAAAAATAATCTTAATTTTTATATTTAAATATTTGCTTATAAAGTTTCCCCAATCCACAGTCTACGCGGAATGCTACGCGTAGCACAGCACGTGTATAGTACCAGCAAAGCGGCATAAGCGCCTTGATTGATTTATGCGAATCAAATTCACAGTTTCGTTTCGGAAACAAGCGATAGATTTTTTTTGTCAGTATTTCATATTCTGTAAAAATAAATATGAAAATAAATTCAGTAACATCGGAAATAAAACTCTTGCGCACTAACGAGGATAGCATTTTAGGAGTCAAGTAAAATAGAATCAAATGAATTGATAGAATCAAATTGATGTTCATTAGATAGAAAAAAAATCTGTTGGATTAAGATATATAAAAATGTTATAACTTTTTTGATGCAAAACCTTTACGATAAATCCTTGTTTAAAAAAAAGATTTACAATTAGTTTCGTAAACCAAATTTAATTTTTAACAGTCTAATAATTGTTTATACAACTTTAGTGATTAGATCCTAGATTGTATGTTATCATCCATTAGTTGAAAATTAATTTAATTTTCTCCTTAGTTCCAGACCATGCCAGGCCGAGAGTCTGCTCCTTGCCTGATCGTCCGTATAATCCTCGGGCGAGCGACGATTTGTATCGACTCCGATCATTTTCGATCACGTCGAAAGGAAGTGTGGTGAATTGTGGTGACAGCATCATCAGCAGGCGTTCCAGATCGAACACCAGCGTCAATTCCACAGCCAGCAGGTAATAATATTTATCAAAATGGTGATTTATGTGTCTGGATGTGGAATCAATTTATTTGTCATGTAGAAATAATTAATTCGTGATGATTCATAAAGTAATTCGTTGGCTGTAGAAAAATATGATCATAATATGCTCCATAATTATATGTATTGGCATAACATAATGTGAAGTAATTTGTAGGCTGTAGAAAAATACGAATATAGTATTTTCCATAATTAAATGTATCGGCATTACATAATGTGAAGTATTCTCATAAACTATAAATTTGTAAAAAATATTTTTGAACTCTACTCAATCTTCTTCCATAATATTTACCATTAACCATAAATTATCACTTTTCTTATTCAGTTTCTAGAATTGATTTCTAATTTTATTGGTTCTGTCTACTCCAGTTTTATTATTGATTTTTCCTTTTTACTTTTATCATCTTCTCTCTATTATTTTCACCTGTTTATATTCCTTTTGATAGTAGATTTTGATCGAGTTTGCTAATTGTATTATTTTCCTTGTTAGCGCCTTTACCTACCAAGACCAAAGTGGTCTAATCTTCGATGGAAAAAAGTTTTTTTTTTGTAGATATTGTAGACTTGGAATTAGCTGCTTTACAATTCTTATTTGTCAATGCTCTGGGTAAATTTTGATCGAGTTTGGTAATTGTATTATTTTCCTTGGTAGCTCCCTTACCTACCAAGACCAAAGTGGTCTTCGATGGTAACAAATTTTTTTGAAGATATTGTAGACTTGGAATTAGTTTGTTTACAATTTTTATTTGATTTATTTTCTGCAGTACAGGAAACAAGGTCATAACTTGGGTCATATTATAGCATAATATAACCAACCCCAATATTTTATTATAAACAACTCCAGCTGTGATTATTTTTTCTTGATCAAGATAACTAATTAAATGATATGGAGAACACTAAAATTGTTACAAATTTTCAAAGATTGATTTATTTCAAGCAAATTAAGATATATAATATTTAAAATAAGATAATAACGCAAACTAAAATTTTATGAGAGTACATTTTTAAATTTTATTTCAAAAATGAGAGACATGCACAGGCTATGACAATATTATGCAGGACGATCCACATATCCAATTGAAACATAATAATATTTTAATATCGTTCAAGTTCCTATCGAAATAGGCTCGTTACTACTTACCCCTGTTACAATAATACCACTCCACTATGTAATTTGCGATTGTATTTTTTTAATACTATTCATTTATTATCATAGCTTTTCTAAGATGAAATGACGTAGAATACTGTACTATATGCAGACATAAATATATCTGAATACTAAGATAGAACTTGAGTGTGTATTGAGTTTTTTAATTAAAAAAGATTTAAGTATTCCTTTTATAGAGATATGTAATTTATGTTTTTTAATATAAAGAACAGTTTCTATAAACTTAAACAAGAATTTTTAAAGAGTATTCAGCAAATATTTTTCATTAAACCGCTCACAAAATAATATCTACAATGTTGTAGTACTTAAAAATCTTTTAGAAAAATCTTGAAATAAAACTTCGCAAACAAAATTTTCAACATTAGAGCAAATTATTTTGTAAAGGAATTTATATATTTTATGTGCTCTTTGTACCCTTATACTATAATAAAAGTATATTAATTAGAGAAAATACCTGTAATCTGTAGCGTAACTTTCGTATTATCTATAGTAAAATATATAAAATTAATCCATGTTTTGCTTGACGGAAATAAGCTAAGTTTTCTTTATAATTGTCAATTAAAATAAAGTACTGGTGGCTAAGATGCTCTGTAAGCAAATTCTTTTCAATTAGTCAAATCCGCCGTTTCTAAAATGTCAAATGAATGAAAAACAGTTTCAACAGACGTAAATAAACAACTTCATTAAACAGGAAATTGTGTGTACAATGATTCTTTAATTAGTTCCTTATTGCTTTTTGTTTACTGATGCTCGAACAATCTCTTCAGAGAAGCGAAATGACAAAATTGCTTGACTGTTCTTTGTATTGAAAACATGAGGGTACTTAGAAACAATTATTTGAGGGAAATATAACTATGAGATAAATGATTTAAATTGGCAAACTTAAGACTTCCCTAAACTTAAGTAAACCCTAAAATCACAGCTGTTCTATATGCACTACATCTTTAGTGCCAGTATTAATTTCCTACTCCGGATTTTCTTGCCTAAGTCTTTTTCATTAATATTTATTTTTTGTAGTTTTTGTAGTTTTTTTCAATACATCCAGTAAATAAGTCTACGACTGTAAACAATTTAATGATGATCATAGATTTATATTTAATAAAAATTGAGTTTAAATTGTATGTTTAAATCACGCAGTATTTTGAATCCTTGTTTCAACAACTCCTTATTATTTTTTTGGTTCATACTTGAGTGAGTTTCAGCAGCAAGTATTATTTCAGCAAATCAAATTAAGACCGTTATTAAATATAAATCGAAAGTACTCATTTAAATATCAATTTAGCATTTTATATCACGACAATAATCCTTATGTATTTACCGAAAAAATGAAGAAAAGTGGTTGTACCCTAGATTTTATTGGGTGGATTTTGTAACGCAATTATAACGATCACAATTGGTTCTTTATTTAATTTATTTTTTCCCAACGCAGCATTTTTTTCTTCAGCCTCGAAATTTATTCATTACGTTATATTATATTAAGGACTTCATGCATTAATGCCATTTCCATTATCGAATGGCTTACACGCTTCTTATATTTTCTCCCAAAAAGCGTTGTAATGGAAAACAAACAATATATTTCGGAAAAAACTCTGAACTCATACTAAAGTTTTTCAAACTTTTTCGGCACTCATGCATTGTGAAAATATTTAGTATCAAAGATAACAAGTGGGTGAACTTTTGCTGTGAAAATCGTCATCGCTAAAATAATAAATTGGAGATGTGCTGAATGTTTTATTTGTGTGTTGGATTAAATCAATATTGATTTAAGTGTCTCTTCAGCTCTGGTAATAAAAGTTTATGAGTAATAAAAATTCTGCATATACGGAATAATTTGAATATTGGAAATTTCAGTTTGATCAAACTAAACGTATTGTCTAATTTATCTCATTTAATTAATATTCACTGAATATCAAATTCCTTTATCTCATGGAAATTAACGAATGTATAAGAAAACACCTGACTAAACATATTAGAAACTTCAGGGACAAAACAAGCCCTTCGGATACCTGACGGACACGGACCCTTTCGAAAAATATTGTATTCAATAAACCGACTTTTTCCCTGAGATATTTTGACAGTGAAGGATGTTATTTTCTGTCAAGTGAAAAATATCGGAGAGTACGGGATTTTCGGATTTTACGATGTTTGCTCTATCCGAGACGACACTTTTCCCGTTTGGCGCAAAATCCGATATTGAGACGCCGTATATACATGATAAAATAGTCGAAGAGTTAGTTCACTAAAGGGTTTTGAAATATAACTTAAAATTGACAATATTGAAATATAACTAAAATTGCAAAATCATTTTACAAAAAATAATAGAAAATTTACCAGGATATTTGCCTTTTACCATGGAACGCTAAAAGAAATTTGGCTTTCTAAATATAAATCTGTCACTCCAAGTTACGAAGTAAAAGGTCAGTAAATGATCAGAAGATCAATCATAAACAAAAAAAAATCGTAAAACTTTCTTTATCATAAATATCCCGATATTAAGCCTTTGGATTAACAAAACTATACATTCAATCCATGGAATTTCATTATTTCCATATATTAAAGAAAATTATATAGTTTTGATCCCGAAAAATCCTATATTTTGATATAGATTTAAAATTACCAATTTCATATTTAAAGGTTTTGATCAGGATTTATTTACATGCAAATGAAATAAATGTGTTAAATAAAATCTGATGAATATCAATGCAATATTTTGTTGATTTCAAACTAATTTCGTATAAAACACTGGGACCTTCCCACGTCCAAGCAAAAAGGTTGCATTAAATTAAATCTAACTCTTGTGCAGAACAATTTTTAAAGATAGCACCTCATTGATATTGATACTAATGCTACGTTTTGAAAATTTAGAACTAGTTGTGTATAAATGACTAATCCTTTCTCACGTCCAAGTAAAAAGATTGCTTCAAATTAAAATAACTCCACAACAGGGTCTGTCTATGAACGATGCCTGTCGGCTGTGGGTAACGGTTTAAGGCGCGTTCCGAAGTGGTTAAATCTGACTTCCCACGATATCCGTAATAATTTTGAAAGCACCTACCATATTGAAATATATTAATAAAAATGATTAACCAACATATGAAAATCCAAATTACTTGTTTTTTTCGTCATCTTATATCAGATCCTCTCCTATATTATCCGTCTGGTCGACGCATCGGTCCGGATAGCACAATAGATAAGATAGACACGACGGGGCTTACGTTGCGCCACGAATATCCAAATCCTTCGCTTTCGGCAGACAGACGGGCTTAAATATACCAATTCCGCGTACACTCACCAAAATTTACATAAACACACAACCTTTTGTTGTTACAACACCACCAGAATATGAATACTAATAAATTTATACCATCGGGTATTTGGACATCGTAGTTATGCATATTCTTTGCTAATTCCGTGAAATGGAATCGAGATTGAAGTTTCGAGCTTTGATGATATGATTCTTTGAATTATATAGAAAAAAACATAATTTTGTATATATGTACTAGCAAACTCGGCCACGCTTTGGTGCGGCTTTTTTTATAATTGACTGGTTTGAAATTTAAGTTTGGTGGATCATCAACAGTTCAATACTAACATTTCCAAAAATGACTACTGCTAACAAATGTTTTTTAAAACTTATATTAATAAATGAATTCAAAGTATTAAATTCAAGTTTTAAATATAAAAGGCTTTACAATTTATTATAAATAACCAAGTCACTTTTGGAAATGTTTTATTTTCCTTGCTAACATTTCAACATGTTTTATGATGATGTATTCGGGAATGGTTTTATTGCTCACATAACAAAGGGTATATTGTTCAGATAAATCGTCCAAAACTATCAGATATTTGACATTGATCGGTTTTACTGTATTTTGCTTGTTTTTTTTAATTTGTCAATATCAAATAAATTACCTCACTACTATTATTACTATTAACATAATTTTATATCTATAAGTAGATCTTCTACCCCTGGGACCAATATGGA